GATTTGTGGAAAGGGATGTTTTGCAAGCAATCCAAGTTGCCTTCTTATGTCTTCAGCCTCATGCAAATCTGAGACCCCCAATGTCAGAGGTTGTAGCAATGCTAACTTGCAAAGTTGAAATGATTGGAACACCTATGAAACCTGCCTTCTTAGAACGAAGACGCACGAAAGATCAGAACCTTTCTTGGGATACAATATCTGAGGTCTTCCCTTCTCCCTTTCAGAGTGAATCTACCTCATTACCTAAACCACCAACTTGAGGGCAGTTTCCTGTCTTGCAAGGAAAGTCAAAATGGTACGAGGGCTTCGTGCCACTGTAAAACTTCAAATGCAGCTACAAATTATTGGTTTTTTTTTGTTCTCATCCCTAAGTTTTCACACGTGTCTATTTAATCTTTAATTTTTTAGAAAAATGGGGTTACTTGGTGGTAAATATTTTGTTACTTGCACATGGGAGATTTGAAAGATGTTACATGTTAAGGGGTGAAGATTGAAGAACCACTTCTGAGAAGCTCGGAACAGATGTTTTAGCTTCCTATGCAATTAGAGTTGTTAACAATCATTTGAGACATTCTTAGATTCAAGATTCTTCCTAAGCAGGATGGCTTGCAATCTTAGTTTGGAATATCTATTTTGAAAATCATTTAGCAGCTTTCTATTCAAGCTTATGTATGACTAGGGTTGATTTTTGTTGGTGTTGTAAACATATAATTGGCAATATAACATCATGGCTAAAAAATCTACAGTATTTTGCCAAACTTAGTGTTTCAAAATGCAGAGATCTTGGTCTGAGAAATAAAGTTCAGCCCAATTGCAGCTTTTTCTTGTTCCTCGCACCAAATTAGTAATTGGGGGGGTTACCTTTTTGCAAAAAATAAAGCATTATCAAAGCTTATTGTAACCTACAGTCTGACATTCAGCAAAAAGACCAACTGTCTGACCAGGCGTCCCTTTCTCTACACACTACTCTACACTAAATTGTAGCCAAACGAAACACAATGCAAAATTCACACTATGCAAAGATGTATATATTTTTTATTTATTCAAAAATTACTGTCAATTCATAAATTTCGAACTCAAGACATCTTTTAATAAATTAAATAATTAATCTGACAAATACTGCTCCGTAGTCTATGAACTCCATCTCTTTCTTTTTAGTATAAGAGCAACTCCACCCATTTGCCCTTAGCCATGGCAAGGGGGGGAGCTAGGGCAGCAACTATTCACGTGAATAGTGGTTGCCCTTGCAAATAGTATATTTTGTGTTTCCACCCGTTGCCATGGCTAAGGGCAATTACTATTCATTTTTTTGTTTTTTTCACAAATTTTTTTACCTCAATAATTAATTCGGATAATACTTTCGGGTAATATTTTGTTTTTAAAACCTAAAGAATTAATTTTGAGAATATTTCGGATAAGATTTCTTTTAATTATATTTTGTTTGATGTATTGAATGTGTTGAAAATTTTGTGTAGAAAATGAAAAATAATAGAAGGAGAAGAAATTATAAGAGGATTTTGTGTTGAAAATGAAGAAGAATGGTAGGTATTTATAGAAAAACAGTTCAGAACTTTTTGGTGAATTTTTAAATAATTTTTCACATTTTTTTCACATTTTTTTTGTAGATTATTTTCAATTTTTTTTGTTATCGGATAAAATTTTGGTATTTATAGAAAAAAAAAATCAGTAATTTTTTTAAAAAAAATTTGATTTTTTTTTCATTTTTTTATTGCACAAAAATTGGCTGCCGTTGGATTGGAGAAAAAAATTTGATCGGAGAGCCCAGAGCGCGACATGTGGACTTTAGCAGCACTGTAGCACATGGAGCACTGTAGCGCTGACATCGCGTATGACGTCATCCAACCTGCGAGTTGGACCTCGGGCTGAACTAGCCTTCGGGCCAGCCCGACTTGCTGGGACCCGCACCTTGCCCGGGCCTGGGCTCACCGCTGGAAACTCCTTTTTTTGGTTTTCTCCCCCCAGCCTTGGGCTAGGCTCATGGCTGGAACTGCTCTAAGCAATATTGGTGGAGGGGGATTTGAGCACATGACTTCCGGATGCAGGAGTGGTACCTGCTTTTACCACTTGATCTACAAACTCTTGCGGACTCTATCTCCTTAAATTGCATTATAAATGACATCTCTGACAAGTAAATCCATTTTGACTCACTTGGATTAAAATTAGTTTTACTGTAGTTCCCTAACTTCATCCATTTATGTAGGTGACTATGAAAAAATATCAAAAAGCAAAAGAACATTGAGCACAATAACACAATCATAACCAAATCATGTTCTCTCTCTCCCCTTGATTTTAAATAGGTGTTCAACTACCTTACACGAACCCCAACATCCTCTTCTCTGTCAAACCCAAACCTTGACTTTTCCCTCTGCACCATGCGCACCCCCATACCCCACTGCTGTCCCCGCCACTGCTGTGCCTTGTTTAGAGGGATACGACCTAATATAGCCTCACAGAGACAATGAGGGAGGAGGAAGAAAGAGAGAAATTTCACACACAAAAATTACAAATAAAAAATGACAAAAGAATAAGACAAACCAAGAGAAGCTGAAGAAAGATCTATATGGGAGGAAAAAAGTAGCTTTGAATTTAATGAAGGCTGGCATGTTGAGCAGCTGATACAGAGAAATTAATCCTTTTATCACACAAGTTTTAAATTAACGAAGCTTTCCATTTCAGGATTTTTAAATTTTTTTTTTAATATAATGCTGGCAATGGATCAAAACAGAAGCACTTCTTCTTCCTTAGAACAATATGCAGTAGCACACCAATATCCTCCTCTTTCCCACATAAAGACATACAGATCTTAAGAAACAAAACTCTCAGTTACTTATATCACTAACATTTTAGATAAACAAAAAGGAAATACAAATACAAATGAGAGAGAGAAGCTTCAACATAGAGGAAGCAATATGCCAATACTCCATATATGAAGGTATTAACTACTATTACATCAAGGCTGGCTACTTCTTCATCACTTTTTTACCTGTTATGTAAGGGATTGGGACCTGTGGGAACAACCCTTTTGTTTTCTGAGGTGGTGTTCTTAGAGTTTGAGTGAAAAAAATAATCATAAAACTGGTGCCCCTTTGACTTGCAGTACTGGCTGAAATTTGCTGCTTCTAGCACTCTTCCATTTGATGATGAGCTCTTCATCCTCTTTCCAACATGATGATGATGATGATGATGATGATGATGATGATCAAAAGTAGTGAAAAAGCTGGACCTTGCAACTGCATTTGATCTAATACAAGCCAAAACCAAGAGGCACAAAAGTGTAATCCCAGCCAATCTCATTGCAACACACTCACTGCTACTAGCTATATAAACTTTGGAACCATATATAAACCAGAGAAACCCAGAGGAGAACAAAGACAAACATACAAGAAAACCCACAAAAGCGACCTTTGAGAGAGGGAGATAGAGAGGCAAAAGGAATGGGGGATTATGGTGACATATATATTTTGAAGAGAAATACAAAGAGGGTTAATGAGAGAGGGGGGTTTTAACAGGACATGCATTTACTAAGGGTATCTCAGGATATACAGTAAAAGACTTGTTTGATATATCAACATCTCTGTAGCTTTGAAGAACAGAAGAAAGCCTCTCACCAAACCTCATTAAATTCCTTTCTGCAGCATTCAAGTCATTGGCCATCCATTAATTAATAAATTATGACAGAATTAAACAAAACAGAATTCTTTTTGAACAAGTTTGAAGTTTTAAGTCAAAGGGGCTCTCACATCCCAAATTAAAAGCACAACATTCTTTTGCCTGCCTAGAGCTAAGCTACATATCATACATATTACATACCTTTTTGATTCCTTTCCCCAAGGCATGCACTCCAAAGCTCTTTTGTGTTTTAGGAGAAACCCTCATCAGACTCCATTGGACTCTTTCCTCCATGAGAGCTATTAAAGCCTTGTGTCAAAAGCTGACACCCAGAGCAAAAGGAAAAACTGCAAATTAATGTTTTGTTGGGGACATGCAGATGCAGATATTAAATGATAGGGTGATGAGATTGTGACCTGTTTTGATCACATTAACTTGTGAAGCACGTCATTTGCTAATTAGGGTTTCGCTTGAATTGATACATGATGAAATTTGTCAGGTTTTTTAGTTGCTATTTGGTTGTCTTTTGGGTGAATGGGGTGAGGAAGAGATACTCAGACAAACAACCTTGTAAAACTGCAATGTATTCTACCGGTGCCCTTGCCGGAATGCCAACAAGACTTAGACACTTGTCACTTCAATTTATCTTTAATTTAGGTTAGGGTTTCGTCATGTCTTACCATTCATTTATTATACTTGTAGTTGATTTAATCTTCAAAGACGGATAAAAGATCAACATACAACACAACATTTATTGCCAAGTTTTGTAAAGGAGATGTATATATTCAAAGTTAAATGTTATAGTAAAGGTTGACATGTTATGAACTTAGATTACAATATTAATGAATAAATACACGTATATAACATAAATGAATTGATGTCACGCTTTGATGAATATTGTAATTATTAGATATATATAATATATATAGCGTCCCATCTTTATCAAACTCCACCATTTGTTTGAACTTAGCTTGCTTTTCAGAATGAAATTCCCTTGTAGGGAGGAAGTTTGCTAAAGAAAAAGCCTAATTCAACCTAAAAAAGTAATAATAATCTAAATTTACACTTCCATACAAACTTCCGCAGTCTCAAATGAAAATATAGGCTCCTCATAAAACCTTTCAAACTTTGAAAGTGTTCATATATAGCAAGAGTGCTCATGATATAATTATGTTCTACAAAATAAGAATGCAAAATAGTTGAAAAGCAAAGAAAGATTTACATTCCACAACCATAAAAAGAAAAAAGAAAAAGAAAAAAAGAAAATCATTGTTGGAATTATCATGACCAGGTAGGCACGTGAGAAGAGCACAAAATAATGTATTTTTTTGTTGGTAAAAGCAGAAAATAATGTTTGATAGAACAATAAAAAAAAGAAAAAAAAACGAAAATTCCTTTCCTCATTGGGAAGTTCAGTGCCTCATTCTCTCCGTCCCTGTTAACTTGCCTGGAAAATTTAATAACAGAAAAACCGATGCAGCCTCCACACTTCACTCACTGTCAAAACCAAATGGTGTGAAATGGCAGTGGCTTCCAATTCCTCAACCCAGAAGAAGCGTTACACTGCCACCACTCTCCTCTTCATCACCCTGTTCCTCTTCACCATCTACCTCTTCAGCAAACGAGCTCTTGAGCCTTCTCTCTCTCTCTACAAAAATCCCTTTCCCCAAATCCCCTCTTCTTCTTCTTCTTCTTCTTCTTCCTCGCTTCCAAATTCCAACCTCTCCTTGCCCAACTCCACATCTACAGAAAGAGTAGCAGTGGACACACCTTCTTCAGGCAGTAATTACCAACCGCCCTTGCTTTATTCTATCTCTGCACAGCCATTGGACCCACCAACCCAACAACCCGTTTCATCCAATTCACAAACTGAAGAGCCAACGGAGTTCAATGATGAAACTGAGCAAGACCCAGGTCGTGAAAATGAAAACCCATTTGGTGAAATGGGTGAAATTGGGTGTGATTTGTATCTGGGGACTTGGGTGAAAGATGAGCGTTACCCGCTTTATAAACCCAGTTCTTGCCCTTATGTTGATGAAGCTTTTGATTGCCAAAGCAATGGGAGGAGTGACTCTGAGTATCTCAAATGGCGGTGGAAGCCTGAGGGCTGTGATCTTCCAAGGTATCTCTGTCCTGCTTTAGTTGTTATCTTTGTGATTTTTCTCTGTGGATATTATGCTTTTTTTATTTTGTTCTGTTGTCAATTGTTGAAAATGGATAATATTTTCAATTTAGGAAAGCTTCCACCGATCTGTTTTAGGAAGAACGTGTCTACTTGCTGCAATTAAAACATCAAGGTATCTAATTTGAATGCCCACCAAGCTCAATCACAATGTAGGACCCATTATGATGCCAAATGTCTTGCTTTCTAAAGAAATCTTGTTCCTAGAATGAGGTCCAGAAAACTTCTATGGGTAGTGGACAAAGATAATACAGAAAATATGTTTTTTCCCATGAAGAAACCTTAATGAGCAAAGGATGCTAGACGTTCATCACAAACAGAAACTCTGTTCTGGTCTCTGTTTTTGGATTGTGAAATGGCAACCTCCATTGGCCATGTTATTGGCTATCACTACCATTGCATTGCATCCATTGATATGGTGCTCTATCTGTTTGATTACTTTTCCAAAAAATGTGCATTCTTGTCTAACAAGCTTGAATTCCATGAGAAATTGAATGAATCAAACACATAGTGGGCAAATGAAATTTCTCAATCAGTGATCTGCAATCTTGAAGAATCAAATTGTCAGAATGCACATCGTAGGAAGTCCCAAGTTTGAGTCCCCATAGAAAAGGATTTAGTAATAAAGAAAGCCCTGCGCAAGCTCATTTCCATCAGAGGGTGGAGCTTTGGCCATTTATTTAATCTAAAGACAGATGAGCTCAGCCCTAACTCAACTTCATGCCTAGAAGGTTTCTTAAATTCACCTTATTCCTGAGCTCATTAACAGCTCAGCCTGATAATTCTCCATTGTGGGGAAGGGCTTGATGCTAGTGATAAAATATGAACTTTGCAATCTCATTTCAGTAAATGTCACAGAGTGCAAATTCATGCACATGTACTAGAGTTCTATAGCTCAGTAAGGTACATAGAGTTATATAAATCAAGGGATGTGATGGGAGGTGATCAAGGGCAGCATGTTGAGTTTGGTGCAACGGTGCAATGAACTGAAATTGGAACTGGATCCAGATCTGATTACAGAGGTGATGCCCTTGGATGTGACTGGTGGTTTGACTGAATGAGCGAGGGATGCAATGGGAGGTGATCAGGAGACTACTAACATCTAGGTTGGACTAGTTAACCATGTTTAGGAAATCACCAACTTGCTGAATTACCATTTTTTGAATCATGCTCCACACCAGGGATGATGCACATCTACCCTTACATGGATTTGAATCATGACTTGAAAAACATCTTTGCAAAATTCAAGGAGATCTATGCCATTATGCCACAGGGCTATTGAGACTATGTCAAACAAATCTAGTTGTTTGTCATTAGGAAATTGTTAGTGCCTATATAAAAGGCTGTGGATATGGTTTGAACAAATTGAAAAAGAAAGATGAGTTTCCTTGTTTAGCGTAGAATGCAGTAATAAATTCTGTATACAACATTTTGTTTTTACCAAAGTGCTTCTCCAATTGATTAATGCAAGTCAATTTAATTGATAAAACAGAACAAAATCGTTTTGTTTTATAATAAAGAATTATTGAAGTATCTTCCATGAGTGATAAAGGCCCCAAATGTTAATTAGATCAATCAGAAGTCAAAGAAATAGCTTGAATTGGATGCAAATTAGTAGAACAAAATGGGGGAAAAAGAATTTATATATAGGAAAGCATCTTATAAGATGGGGAAAAAAATTGATTGTGCTTCTCGGGAAGAATTTACTTGCTGCAGAATTTCTAGTGGCAAGGTGTAGACTTTATAGCTAAAAAGAGTGATTCTTATGATGTGCCACAGAAAATATTAGAAAAGTACATATATCAAGGGCAGAAAATTAGATATTACACAATGGGTTGTCTACAGATGTCTATTTACAAATTGAACTTTTAGTTGAGTTTTGGGAAATAAATTACAAATGTTGTCTAGAGATATAATGATTGTTCAGTTTGGCTCTTTGAATTCTGCTGCTTTATTTGGCTCTCTGACCATTTTTAAAGAACTTATGCTCTTCCTAGTTCTGATCTGAGAGGTACAGTTTTAGTGAGTTTGAGGGTATGCATAGTCCTCAAATTTTATGCTACTAGTTCCACTTCTAGCCATTTTGCAATTTAACGGCATTTGTATGTAGCACGCTATCTTTGAAACAATATTGAAGATGATTTCCTAATATATATTTATTTCAGTATTTGAATAATTATCTTGGTCTCCCATTTTACTTTGATTCTATTTGCCTCCTTATTCATGATAGTTTATCAATTTTCTTGGAATACATTTTGTTTCTGCACTCACCGTCACTCGTAGGTTTAATGCATCAGACTTCTTGGTGAGACTACGTGGTAAAAGATTGATGCTGGTAGGAGATTCCATGAACCGGAACCAGTTTGAGTCAATCCTTTGCCTCCTCCGCGAAGGCTTGCATAATAAGAGCAGAATGCATGAAATTCACGGCCACAAAATAACTAAGGGAAGAGGCTACTATGTTTTCAAATTCGAGGTTAGATCATTGCAATCCTAATTTCTAGTTCATGCACCCATATAGTTTGCACTTGAGTAAGTTTTTTTCTTGATTACATGTCACGTTCTTAAGCATTGATTGTAAAGTGTAGTTGGCAGCTTCCCCATAGCCCAATTGGTTTTGTTTCATGTTAGTTAGAACTTACTTTTCATTATACATACTAAATCTATGTGTGTTTGGTCATCCTAAATTTACTTCTGCCATATTTGGGTGAAAGCTTACCTTCTGGAACACACTTCATATTCAGTTTTAGGATTGACATTACAATATTTTGATTTGGGCTGAAACTATCTAAGTTAAATCCAATTTTACCTTACTAGTTATTCAGTACACAGAATTACATCATACTCATTTTAAGTTCAACTTAGTTGTAGGGAGTATAATGGATCAGTTGGTACTTCTACTGATTGTGAAGTTTTCTGAAAATCTTGGACAGGACTATGACTGTACAGTGGAATTTGTGAGGTCGCATTTCCTCGTAAAGGAAGGAGTCCGCATTAATGCTCAAGGGAGTTCAAATCCAACTCTTTCGATAGATCAAATTGATAAGACAGCTAAACGTTGGAAAAGAGCTGACATTCTTGTCTTTAATACTGGCCATTGGTGGAGTCATGGAAAGACTGCTCGTGGGTATGCTTGCATCTAATATTTACTTACTATTATTTTCTTACATTTGTTCTGCAGATTGAAATATTCTTTTCTGGTTCATTCAGTTGTGTTAATCACTTTGATTTGTTTTGGGTGTTTATTTCTTCATTTCTTTTCTTTTGGCTGGTAGACGATAAAAGATCATCCATAGAATGCGAGTGCTGTCAATATTCAAATTTTGAAAACTGATATAGTATCCTTCGATCTCTAACAAGAAAAATACTCAATTAGCTTATAGATTGCAACTAACTGGCACCTAGTCTGGTTGAGTGGTTTATGATCTCTTCTTTTGGCCATTTTTACTTTCACAAAATATACCGGAACTCTGTAGAAATATGACAGTTATTTCTTACAGGAAAAACTACTATAAAGAGGGAGATTATCTTTATCCAAAGTTTGATGCATCTGAGGCCTATAGAAGGGCTCTGAGGACCTGGGCTAGCTGGATTGATCGTAATGTTAATCCATCAAAGCAGTTGATCTTCTATCGTGGGTACTCTTCTGCCCATTTCAGGTATTAATCCTTTCATCTCTCACATTTTTGTTCAGTTCGTATCAGACAAACTAGAATAGAGAGTTCTGTATGTAATTTGCTTTTTGAGTGTTGGGAAACGTTCTTTCTCAACATTCAACTTGAAATTACTATAATGAGAAACAGAACAAAATTTTAAGATAATTAAACACTTAGTAACAAATTTTTAAGTACTCGAGAGAAGTAGCATATAATTGATTTATTTGTTTATTATGGAAAGTGTTTGACTTATCTATAATTTCTGTTCATTCCAAACTCTGGAAAGCAGAGGAGGAGATTGGGATTCAGGTGGATCATGCAATGGGGAAAAAGAACCAGTCTTAAGTGGGGCCATACTTGATAACTATCCTTTGAAAATGAAGATAGTGGATGAAGTAATCAAAGAAATGCGGGTTCCTGTGAAACTTTTGAATGTGACAAGGTTGACCAATTTCCGCAAGGATGGCCATCCATCAATCTACGGAAAGAATGCAACTGCTGGCAAAAAAGTTTCCACAAGGAAGCAAGACTGTAGCCATTGGTGCCTTCCTGGGGTCCCTGATGCCTGGAATGAGCTTATCTATGCCACCTTGATTATTCAGCAGACCAAATCAAAGAGTAAAAATTCATAGCCTTTTCCCAGTTTACCACTGAGCACTTACTAATGACAATATGGACATAGGATATCTGAATTCTCTTTACATGACCAAGGAGCTGTTAAACCTCCTGGCGGAACTCACCCTTACAAAACCGGCTTATAAGAAAAGGGTGTCCGGGTGTTTATGGATGAGTGATTATGTTAACACTCCGCTGGGCGCTCGGTTTTAGGCCAACCCATGTTTAAGATACGCCTGCTCTGCTCTGGCGCCATGTTAAACTTGTAAGAAGTACCATTATCGAAAATCCGCATACAAGGAAAGAGTGCTCATGGTGAGATTGTGCTAACAAAAGCTTGTGATCATCTTAAGTCGTGCACCTTTTTATTTTCTATTTATTATTTTTTTGCTCTCTTTTATTTTTCCGTTTATTTTGGGTCAAAGAATAGATGCTCCATAATGAGTAATTTTATAATGATTGCCAATGAGTTGAGGTATTTCTAGGTCTTCATTCTTCACTTCTGCCGTCTTGTGGTGACTTCTGTTTTTCTTCTTTCTTTGGTAGGCCCCCGTCATATCTTAACAATATTTCCAATGCAACTCTGCATTTGCTTGGACCATCATAAGGAGATTCTTCAACGCTTTGGTCATGTTGCCCTCTTTTTTTATATTTTCTTTTATCAGTTCATAATTTTCCAATTGGAAAGTCAATCACGTTATTGAAATGATTATTTGCTAGACTTCAGTTCATCTACTATATTCCAAATTACCAATAGTCACCCAATCACCCAAAATTAAAGCAACGAAAAAAAAATGATATCTCTACTCAACAAGAAAGCATGATTTAAAACAAAATTAAAAAAGAATTTGAATTAATGTGGCTGGCATATATAGCGTTGGGTTTGATAGTCACGTCCCTATGTAATTAGACACGAGCTCTACGTATGTCACAATTCTCTTTTCGAACCTTGACGACGGTACGAGGGAAACTTTATTAATCATCAAAATGAAAATGGGGAACTTAAAGCTTACAATTCTTAGAGAGTGTAAACTGCAGTTTTTAATTTTTTTTAATTTTTAATTTTGAAAAATATTATTTTGGTATATAAATTAAAATTTCTAAAAGAAAAAACATATTATTATTATTTTTTCACACATGGCTTCAAGCTTTATACATAGAAAAACCAACGAGTCCCACATGCCATGTCAGCACAATTCATCACTCTCTTAGCTGTTTATTTTGTCTAGTTAGAGCAAATACCAAACATCAAATTTAAATTTGATGGTTGATGTGGTAATTTGACATCTTACACAGTTTTACACTCCACCCGATATGTCAAATTAAATTATTATTTTATTACATTTTAGTGTTGATTTATTTTTAATTAAAAATAAAAGAAAAGAAAAAATAATAAAATATTCATTTGACATCTTGCTTTTAGAGCATCTCCAACCGATATGTCAAAAGTGCCACATAGACATTTAACAGCTAGAAATAACATCTCACACACTCCAACCGATGTGTCAAAGCTGATGTGGAATGAAGGCTGAAGATTGAGATGTTATTTTTGACATCCCAAAAGCAAGATGTCAAATGAATATATATTTTTTTCACAGCTTTACACTCCACCCGATATGTCAAATTAAATTATTATTTTATTACATTTTAGTGTTGATTTATTTTTAATTAAAAATAAAAGAAAAGAAAAAATAATAAAATATTCATTTGACATCTTGCTTTTAGAGCATCTCCAACCGATATGTCAAAAGTGCCACATAGACATTTAACAGCTAGAAATAACATCTCACACACTCCAACCGATGTGTCAAAGCTGATGTGGAATGAAGGCTGAAGATTGAGATGTTATTTTTGACATCCCAAAAGCAAGATGTCAAATGAATATATATTTTTTTCCTTTTCTATTCTTTTTAATTAAAAATAAATCAACACTAAAATGTAATAAAATAATAATTTAATTTGACATATCGGGTGTAGTGTAAAGCTGTGTAAAATGTCAAATTGCCACATCAGCCATCAAATTTAAATTTGATGTTTGGTATTTGACATCTCCCTTGGAGATGCTCT